AATATCGCTGCATCCTGACGACAGGACGATACAAAGGGAATAGATAAATAAGTATTTCCTTGGCGTGTGTAGACGTCGCTACGCGAGAAGCTTGACGAATTGGTGATTGAATTGCAGCGGATCAAACTTTGTCATTTCTGGCCTGCCGATTGGCCATTAATGGACCAATGATACGTGGTGTATTTGGCTAAGCCAATCCTATTGCTCAAACCACGGCAAAATTAGTGGGATCAAAATTTTGTCCAGCCTCGGGACGGCAACAGCCACCAAGGTCGAGCCTGGTATCAAGGAGATGTATGTATGTCCCTTGCTCGTATGCTCGCGCGAGCATCAAGTGCTTTGACTCGTCTTAGGAGGCCTCGGGCTGCGGGCGTTCCGCGTGACGCGTCGTCACGGCCCTTGGCACAAGCGCTACGGCGGTTGGTTACGCGGCAGGATTTAAGGAAATCCAGCTCATCCTTCATCGCGGATAGGCGCCAGTGACGCCGTGACGCGTAGCGCTCACTAGGCTTTAGGACTTGTGGTGGACGGATGAACGAAAGGTATGGGAAATGGCTTTGGTCGATTTTACAAAGTGAGGCTACGGTGTCGGACTTCTTCTCGCTCACTCGTCAGATTTGGCTCGAACTTGGTCAGTCGACGCGCATCGTTTTCATCTTGATAATGCCTATGATAACGAGGTATCTACAAGCGTAAATGTACCAACAAGTCGCCAGCACCCGCCAAGACGGTCGATGAGAGTCGAGTTGCAACGTGTCCTCTGGTCGTACGTCTGTTTTGCAACCAAGCTGACGCGCCACCAGTGGATCAACAGCGTCGCCACGAAAGCACATCGTTTCATCCGTCCGTGGCAACGTCGTACATCGACTGTGGCTCGGTGGCGTGGTTGCAGAGCATACTTACGACAAGAGGCACACGGCGACTCGATATATGCCGGAAGCGACGACTTGGACCATGCCGTCGCACGCTGCGCGTCGAGGGGCGATGCGCGCGATGGATACAATGGGCAACTGAGCCTTGTTGCTCCCATCTTGTTGCGTTCTAAACGGCCTCCACCGAAGCTGGCCTTCCCATCACTCCGCACCAGTGCTTGCCTGCAACCCGAGCGCGCCACGTCATTCATGCCGCCACTGGATTGGCTCATGTTATCCATGCCACAGCCAATCAGATGCGGCCGCCATCGCATCCATTTCGTTGGCCACCTTCAACGTCCTTCTTTGCACGAGTACCGGTAAATGGTCGAAGGGCAAGTTGCTGACGCTCGTCATTGTAGAAGAAGAGAAACACCCTCTTCAAACGGTCGGCTTACTTTGACGTTGGGCAGTAGAAAGCCATGGAAGGCGCTTTTTGCCTTGGAAGGCGCGGTGTCGGAGGGTCGTCCAGGATGTCATCGCTGGCAGCGCAAGCAAGGTCCTGGATGCGCTTGAGGTCTACAAACGCTTGTGTCTGCGTGTCGACCTTGGGCGGTAGCGGGCATAGTTGCCAGTGCATGGACTTGACCTTGCGCCACTCTGTCTCCATCGCCACGATGACGCCCGTGCTATGGTGCTCGACCGGCCGAAGCGACTGAATCACGGCTTGGGTCCGCGCTTGGAACGCCGCTTTTGCGTGCCGCTCGTGGGCTTCGATACGGTCGCGCTGTTGCTGGTCGCGACGCACCCGTGCCCGACGCTCGCGCACACTCAACGCTGTATCCTCGAGGCGTTCTTCTGCGCACAGTGTCTTGACAACGATCTCTGGCGCTACCTCGGTGGTCGCCGCCTCTTTGGCACGTTTCCGTATGGTCTTTGTGGATCCTTTGGCTTCGAGCATGGCGAGTGTCGCTTTCTTCTCTTTGACTAAACGCAGTGCAGCATGAGGCGAGACGTCGATAGCAACAAGAGGTACGCAAGGCCCGCTCAAGAAGCGCTAGCATCGCGTCGTTCTGGTAGTCGCGCGCCCAGTCCATGGCCGAGTTCTGGGACGTACCGCAGTCCTAGAGTCTCCAACTCACAGTATGGACAAGTGGTGGCGTTTGGTACCTTTGTGACGGACGCGCCGTAGCGTAAGAGTAGCTTGAGCATCCCGACGTCTTGGTGCTTGGTAGCCCACCGAAGACACGAAAACCCCGACTAGTGGGAGGTACGAAAACGTGGCTGCTCGAACAATGGACACCTTGTCGCACACGTCCAAGTCGGCGCCGCGCAAAACAAGGTATCGAAGAAGTGCCGAGCGCTGGCGTCGGCACGCGGCGCACACGGCCGTCTCTTGAATCTAGACTTGCACGATGACGACGTCAACTCGTGGTCGCACCACGTAGTACCGTCGACGTCACGTTGATGTCGCCGTCGTAGTTTAAAAACATGTGCACGAAGAAGAGCCAGCCATGCTACCAGAACAGCGTCGCATCCTTCTCCTACGCGGTAGTATGAGGTTATCGTACCGCAGCCGCGTGGACGATGGGGGGGACGCCCTAATATGCTGCTTCGTGAGGTGACACAATCAAGCCGTGTTGACGAACCGAGTCGTCGCGCTCGTTGACATCGTAGCCGCGCTGGAGCAAGCGCCTATCAGAACTAGAATGTCGATACATGCGTACTAGTATGATGCAATGACAAAACCAGATCGTAAAGCGGTCACTGAGGCTCAGCGGTACGCGCTGGTGGCTCAGCTTGTGCATCGCATACGAGAGAAGGTTGGACTGCTCGAGAAGGCCGCGCTCGCGAATGTACTTGTTCTCGGCGATGCGTCGCTTCCACTTGGCGAGCTGGCGCGCCTCGTCGTCGTAGCTGCCGTCGGTCATGAGGATTGATTTGACACGCCAAAGATAGGTGTCGCAACCGGATAGATGGTGCATTATACGGACAAGGGCTGGGATTGGCTCGGTGATTTGGCTAGAATCACGCAAATTGGCTGCTGTGTCGTTGGGACAGCGACGCCAAGTATCCTGCCACCCGGCCAAAGCCAAAAGACATGTTTTTCGTTGTCGTACTTGAAAGTACTATGTGCTCTAGGCGAGTTTGACCGTCCATGCATCTTCTGTGTGCTTATCTGCGTCGGCTGGTTGCGTGTATTTAGTGGCGAGGCAGGATTGGTCGCCATGGTCACATTTTTGGACCACGATGAGCGCGCCGTCGTCGACGTTCTGGCAGGACCTTGGACGTCCGATATACGTGGCATCGCCGATGGTCGACCAGTCCGAGTACGCGTTCCGGCAGCTCTGCCGCCAGTACGGAGCGCAGCTGTGCTACACGCCGATGCTACACGCCAAGGTCTTCCTCTCGGACACGACGTACCAAGCCCAGCGGCTCGACATCATGGCCGACGAAGGTCCTACGATCGTCCAGTTTGCTGGCGACAACCCCAAGATACTGCTAGCTGCCGCCAAAGTCGTCGAGGGCTGTGCAACCGCTGTCGACCTCAACTTGGGTTGCCCGCAACCCATTGCGCGCAAGGGCCATTACGGCTCGTACCTTCTGCGCGAGGCAAACACGATTGTCGACATTCTCCAGTGCTGGACTCAGAACTTGTCAATTCCCGCCACGTGCAAGATCCGTATCATCGATGAAGGCAGCGCGGACCCTACGAACCGTGGTCTCCAAGCCACGTTGCGGCTCGTGGATCAGATCGAAGCTGCCGGTGCCGCTGCAATTACAGTACACGGACGCAACCGCGTCATGAGCGGCAAGAAAATGGGGCGTGCTGACTGGGCGGCGATCGCGGCTATCAAAGCGCGCGTCTCGATCCCGGTCGTCGCCAACGGCAACATTGAAACGTTCGATGACGTGGCAGCGTGTAGGGCCGCGACGGGTGCCGACGCGGTCATGTCGGCGGAGGCGCTTCTCGAGAACCCAGCGCTCTTTAGCGGCCGGGACGTGAGTCCGTTTCAGCTCGCACGCGAGTACTTGGGCCTGGCGACCGCGTCGCCCCTCGTGGGCGTCAATTTTCACCGGACCGAGAAGGCCCATGTGGTTCGCATGCTGCATGCACCCATGCGTCAGCTCGCCCGGGCGTCCGTCATGGATGCCACCGCGCTCTTGGCCGCAACGCAGTCACTTCCCGAGCTCATGGACGCTGTCGCAACCATCGAGACGGCGGCCGAAACGTTGTCGATACCGCACGTGCGAGGCGCGGACGCGTGGTACCGGCGGCACCGTGTCGATGCCGATAACAACGCGAGTCGGTCGGCACGCAAAGACATCCAGCGGCAATGGCTTGCCGGTGGCTTGCGACTCACCCGATGACTAATGAAGAATTCCATGTACTTTGACGCGTCATGTGCGATCGAACCCTGGGTGGCAGCTGCGCTTGCCGTCACTTGACGTTGGTCTTGCGTCGTGTCCTCTGCGCTGCGCGCGCGTGGCACTGGCGATCAAAGCGCGTCTCCAACAAGCGCATCCCACGCTTAAATGGAAAGTAGCGTCGTACTGTACGAGGCTGTTAATGGCGAAGCCGCCTGCATACTAGTATGATGCAAGATTCGAGCGCATACGCATGTGACCGTCGATGTATTACACCTTGGACCTTGAAGCTGCGACTCTGGCGACTGGGGATTCCGTAGCTGGATGGCACCGGCCCACTTGGATGCTCCCTGGCTCCACCTGGCACGCCACGGTGATTTCTCACGTGTGAAATATAGATTGCCACCGACCAGTCGTGTCTCTGTAAACCGGGCCACCAACAAACCAGCTCTGGCACGTCGCAGCCCAGGATCTTCTCATTGCCTTCTCCTTCGTCGACGTCTCCGTCGTTTGCATGCGACGATCGAGGCGTCTTCGCATGTGTACTCAGGCAGACGACGTAGCATCATCGTTGGCATCATTCGCCTCACAATCGACATTGGCCTCCATGCACAGATGACGGAAGGCATATCGCCAGTGGCATCCCACTCCATGGTGACCGTGGCCGTCACGTTGCGAGCGAGCCATTAGTCTACGAGAATCGAAAGGGCCGAACGAACGTGTCCGAACGTCGTCCTATAAACTCTTGGTGCGTCGTCATGCAGAAGCCTCTTGCCCGAGCCAGAGGCTGGACACGACGTGGTCCGAGTCTGCGTCAACAGCAATTTCTTGCGATCGATTTAGCGCAAAGATCACATCGCAGCACCAGTCTCCACAGCGTCTCCAGTGTCTCCACGACGCCTTCGTGTCGCACCGGAAACACACGTGAAAAAACATTTTGAAAACACACGTCATTTTTCACGCGGAAGCCCCGCTGCTGGCTAATGTCGTGGTCGAGTATTTTATATATGACGCGTTTGTATGCCTATGGAAAGAAATACATTAAAATAGCGCGCGGTCTCCTACGACGGTGTAGCGCGTGGCAGCTGGCGCTGAAGAATTGCATGGAGTAGGACGTCGAGGTCCATTTTCGCTTCGTCCTCGCAATACGAGGCCCATGGAAGCCAACCTCATGGACGACCTCGAGAGCCAAGCGCGGACGTCATTGAGCCTCTTCAGCTTTGGCGACGTGGGCGAGTACACGCTGCTGTCGCAGTCGACGACGAGCGCGAGCAAGCTGCGCCTCGAAGAGCGCGTCGTCAAGCGCGGCGGCGAGACGACCTTGTACCTCGTGCGGTCGACGGTCTTTGTGGCCGCCGAGCTCCATGAGCTTCTTCCGATCCTCATCAACTCGGAGAAGACCGCCATGAACGACGCCGTCCAATTCTTCTTTGGCGGCAAGCACCGCCATTGCACCCAAGTGTATCGGCAGAAGCGGGACACAGGCGTCGCGAGCCTCAAGCGCGTGATTGCCGACCAGGGCACGATCCTCAAGAGTCGCTGGCAGTGCTCGTTCCTCGACTTTGAAGGCACGCTCGTGCCCGATTGGCGCGACGACTATGCATCGCAGCCCAAGCCCGACATGTTTGTGCGCGTCATGCAGTCGTCGTCGCTCCTAGACGACCCGCCAACGCACCCGCTGCCCGCCAACACGAAGCTCAAGTCGATCTCACCGCGAGGCGTCATGGTGCGCAAGGTGCCCAACCCGTCCTTGAACCCGTCCGACGCGCCATTGGGTGTCGAGGTGCAGTTTGTCGTCTCGTTTCTCGAGACGGCGCTCATCAACTTGCCGCGTCGGAGCCGATATCAAAAGCTCGTCGCGCAAATGGCCAAGCTCGAAGACGTGGTCGTGAGCCGCCGCCTCAGTCGAACGTTCCGCGACCGGAAGCTCAACCCGCTCCACCCGCAAATTCAAAACTGGGTTGCCAACGACAACCGGACCACGTGCCACATTTGCAACGCAAAGTTTCATTTTTCCAAGCGGCGCCACCACTGCCGGCTCTGCGGTGAGATCGCGTGCGATGCGTGCTCGCCGAAAATGGAGGTCTGGCTCCCGTACAAGTCGGCGCCGACCGCCGTCCGCATCTGCACCGACTGCGTTCACGCGCAGCAAGCCGACGACGACGAGGACGTGGCCACGGCCACGCTTGCCAAGTCGAAAAACGTCAACGTCTCGGTCTTTGATACGATCTACGACGCCATGTACTGCAACAACCAGAGCTTCAAGGACCGCCCGATCGAGCGCGACCTCCGAGGCACCGCGTCGTCGTCGCCATCGTCCTCGAGCGAGCTCGGCGACGACGTTGCAGAGAGCGTGTCGCTTCTGGACCTGAACCTGCACCTCGCGCCGCCGCTTGACGAGAAGGGAGATGCGTGCAAGTGCTGCCGCGACCTCCTCGGTGCTGTCCGGTACGGCTGCTCCATGTGCACGGGTGTTGTCTGCGGGTCGTGCAACCTCCAAGTGCACGGCAACGACGGCGTCGAGAACCTCTGTCGCATTTGCGTCGGGAAGGACTCGGTCACGCAGCTCCTCACGCGCTCGGACAAGGGCCTTCGCCACTCGATCAACGTCGGCGGCTTGGACGGCCGCCGGCGCAGTAGCAGCAGCAACGCCGTGCTCTCGCAGTCGGCGCGTCCGCACCGGTCGCGTCTCTCGTCCGTCTTTTCGCACTCGGACCCGTCTCGGCACCTCACGTCGTCGCCGCCCACGTCGTGGGTCACGTCGTAGCTTTGTTTTCTTTTGCGTTTTATTTAATTTCAAACTCTGTACGTTGCAAGCCGCTGTTTTATCCACTGGAAACTGCACCACAAGGGAAGTACCTGTCGAAGCCCGAACAGTCTACCGAGCAGCCCATGAACCCAGCTCCTGTACGAGAGGCCACACCAACTAGATGCTCTTCAACTAGAGCCAACAGCAGTAGCAGCCCTGAGGAGTGATGTAGTAGCTGCCGATTCAAGTGCGATTTACAGGTCTAGAAATCGTTCTCATGACGAAATCCTCAAGTCCACGGATAAAACGACGGGAAGAGGACTGCGCCGAGAACGCTAAAGCCAAGCGCATACAGCAGAAGCCCCTTGCTCGCCGTCGGGTGCGTCATCGAGAGGTGGCCCGCAGCCCAAAAGATCGGCGGGTTGGCACAGAGGAACCGCGTCAGCACCTAATAGTTGCATATGAGAGACGTGGCATCCATCCAAGCGCGCGTACTTGGATGTGGAGCACGACAAGGGCATTTGCAAGCAGGAAGGCGAGATGCGCCATGTAGGGCTGCAGCGGCGACGGCAGCACCACGGCGGCAGAACGCGTCCGTGGACGCCAGTACGACAGCAGCGCGTACGACGAGAGGAGCAACATCGGCGTCGCCAGCGCAAAGTTGGGGATCTAGATCGTTCAACTTGAAGTGAGTTTCACATGTGAACGAGCGATCTTTCGACCTGCTTCAGTTGGTAGTAGGCAAACGGGCCAACGCCCCAGTACTCTTTCTGAATAAACATGTACATGGCCGAGACGTTGGGCACGACGTTGGCGCACCACGGCCGATCGATGGCGAGCTTGGACGTGAGGCCGACAAGAGATCTAGAGCAACACCGATACGGATGACGTCTTGCATTAGACGTACGCAAAAGATGCCGTGTACGGCGACAAGGACGGGCAGTAGGCGGCAATACCAAACGCAAAGTAGACCAGTTGGGGCCCAATGGCCACGACGCCGAGCAGCGCAGTGACGACCCAGTAGCGCAGAAACGAAATGAGCGCTTGGGTTGGCGAGGGCGACGCGAGAAGGCGGTAGTAGGCAATGTACACTACGCCACAGCAGGATGCTATACCCGTAGAGGAACCGAGACGTACGAGACAAAAGAATGCCGTTGGAGCGCGTGGCGGACGACAGGCCAAACAGGATCGCGCTCAGCACGAGGTACAGCGTCGAGGACCGATGCGGCGCCGACGTGCGGTAGAGCTCGAGGTAGTACATGCCACCAAAGCTCAGGACGCACATCAAGCTAGGACCGTGTGAGGCGCGGTCGACGAGATGGCAAGGCTACCTCTCACTGTAGCACGACGACATAAAGATGCCAGAGGGGCAAAAGCAAAAGAAGATGGCCGAGCGGCGCGCCAACGTCTCGTTCTGGAGAAGCTACCAGTGAGAGCATGAGCACGACAGTACCGGCGATGAAGCGCAGGATACCAGTTGCCCGAGACGGTAGAGGTAGCGCGCGGCAAGGACAAAGCTCACGTTGCTGTCATCAAGGTGCGTTAGCATGATCGCGGGACGACGATGGTGGTTGCACGTACCTGATGCACCAGCCTGCCACCAAGATGGCCGTTTGCGGAGCGCAGAACGGGGCAAGAAGCACGCTGCGCCATGGCGAAGTGAGCTAAAGATGAGCTAGGCGATTGTACCTGGCGTAGCGTGCCAGGAGGCCAAAGAGCGGAAAGAACGCATGGGTGTTCTCGTAGCCGTAGCCATCGGCTGCCATGTCGACGTAGTAGACGCCGTCCCATGTGGCAAAGGCGCGGAAGATGGACGAAGACGTTGCAGATGTATCGTAGGGCGTGATGAGGTACGCGCTGATCATCGCCATGGTCGAGACCCATGCCCGCGAGAGGACCGCGATGGCAACGATGTTGGCCTCCTTGCCCATGGTGCAAGCTTCCTGCAAAACTGTGCCAACACTTTTTACGTGCAAATACAGCTTTCTTAAATAGTATGAATCTGCCTGCATCGGTCTTTGATACGCGACAGCTTTGCCCAGCGACCATGCTAGCAGCAATGAGTGGCGTTGCATTGGGCATCCCTTGGTGCTTTCCAAGGACTTGTGCAAAGGGATTGTGCTGTCAACTTGCGGCCGATGCTGGTTGCGAGCCGGGGTAGAATCGTACACTATATACATACGAAGTGTGTGAATGTTTGTGATGGGCAGTATTTGGTGTGCTCGAAAGATACAACGGGCGAAGATGGCAGCACGCACGCGGCCGTCCATGACAGCGGACCGCCTGGAGGTCATTCTGCACGATGCATGTGATGCCATGGGGAGAGGCGAAGCCCCTCGGTCCGAGACGTGGCTCGCGTACATCCTCGAGGCCATGGCCACGCCTGCCGACGAGGTACGAAGCGACCTGCAGCTCGATGGCACGCCTCTATCTGGGCTAGCACGAAGCCCTCGCTGGGCGCTTTGGCGTGCCCGCTGATGTAGCCAAGACGGCGCATGATATTCTGGAGGCGCGCAAGCCCGACGTGCATCGGTACCTCGTGCGCCAAGCGATTGCATTGACGCCGACGCACCTTGTCAGCTTCGACTACACGGTTCGGGTAGGCTACGTCTCGTTTTGGGATGCGTCGGTTGTGACGCCTTGTAGCTTGTCATGACGAGCAGCACGCTCCACGGAGTGCTCTACCCCGTTCTCGTGCTCCTGCTCTTGCTCCAAGATGCCAACGGTGCCCAGCGCGAGGTAGTCCATTCCTTCCGAGCGCTTTCGTGGTCATCTCATGGGCAGTCAGGTGCGCTTTGAGATGACGAAAGATCAAGTAGATGATCTACTTGCAGAATTCGACACGATTGAGAAGGTACATTCTGACCAACAAAGCCGTGACGAGTGTGCATCAACTGTAGACCCTCTCGGGCGTCATGCCGCAAGACGTTGTCTAGCAGTAGCCAGCCCAACATACTTGCAATACATCAAGTTTGTATCAAGTTAGCCAAACGCAAAGTGGAGGCAAGCGCGGAGGCCGGCTTGTGCCTTGGGAAAGTAGCTGAGGCAGTACCACGTGAGCGCACAGCACTGCACAAAGACGGAGAAGAACACAAAGATCGAGCGAAACCAGAGACCTGGGCAGAGCGCAAAGACGAGCGTGAGCCCAATCGTCGAGAGGTACGCAGTGAAGCAGGGCAGTCGGTTTTTCTCTTGGAGGTTGGCCCACTGCTGGCGCGGCCCCGCAAGGAAGAGCGTCGAGAGCATAATGATAAGCGACCCAAACGAGTAGAGCACGCCAAACGCCGCCATCGACAGTGGCAGCCTACAGAACATGAGCTCATGGACGTGCAGTTTGGTCGACGTACACGAAGAATGAGACGAGGAAGAGCACGAGGCCAAGACCGAGCGTCATTAGGAACCGATGCGTGTTGCGCGCATCCTGCGCTGGCGCCTCGTCGTTGCGCAAGAAAGACTCCTTGAGCGTCGTGGGTAGCATTGTTCGCCGACAGCAATCTTATTGTGTGCTTATGGGACCTTCGATGGAAGATCCATGCTCTGGCGAAACGGCGCGTTGCGTCTTTCTAGTCCACACAGTCCCCAATGCAGGTTTGCACGCCATTCGAGACGCACGCGACAACAACACCGCACGTTGCCTTCACTGAAACACTCTGCGGACAAGCCGTCGACTCACTAGCAATGCCATGCAGGTACTCGACGAGTTGCCCTCTCTGCTCTATAGCCTGGTAAGCTGGCGAGACAGCGATACACCTCTATAACTGGATACATTAGCTGTGCCAATAGAAACGCAGAGCGCCCCATCATAATATCCAGTGTGAGAGGTCCGTCCCGGCATCGGATTGGTCCGTGCATTGGCTGGACCAGCGCGTAATATTTGGTTGGAAGCGGAAGTCGGGTTTTGTATACGATTTTGGTCGGCAGCTTAGTGTTGCTTTTCAGTTCCATCTACCAACATGGTATGTCCTCGATGCGAAGCTTAGCCAAGCCTAAGGCCCGGGGTACGAGGGCGTCCGCCTCCGCGGCCTGCTTCCCGGGCCTTTGACACTGCATTAGAGTCCCTCGCAGGCGACGACTGACCGCTGTGATGTAGCCTACCGCCGCCCACAAGAACCGTAAGAAGCGTGGTCACGTGTCCGCTGGTCACGGCCGTATCGGCAAGCACCGCAAGCACCCGGGTGGTCGCGGTAACGCCGGTGGTCAGCACCACCATCGCATCCTCTTCGATAAGTTCCACCCTGGTTACTTCGGTAAGGTCGGTATGCGCCGCTTCCACCTCCTCAAGAACCGCCTCCACTGCCCCACGGTGAACGTTGAGAAGATCTGGTCGCTCGTCTCGGCCGAGACGAAGGAGGCCGCCGAGAAGTCCAAGGACGGCAAGGCCCCCATCATTGACGTCACCAAGTCGGGCTACTTCAAGGTCCTCGGCAAGGGTCGCCTCCCCGCCATCCCGGTCATCGTCAAGGCCAAGTTCTTCTCGCAGGAAGCCGAGAACAAGATCAAGGCTGTCGGCGGTGCCTGCTTGTTGACCGCTTAAATGCGCAACATGAGTAGTGCCCATCCTCGCCTCTTGGTAGAAGTGGACAACACGTAAATGGTTAACCAAACTGGAAATCACACCACGGAGTTAATCGAATGATCCTCGGCGCGCATGCAGCCACTCGAGTAGTGACGAGATCGGGTGCTTCTGGCTTGGGTCGAGGAGGGCAACGAGCTTGTGTTGCAAGCTCGCTACGTCCGCGGTCTCGACGCCGCTGAAATTGTCGAGGCCAATCGCAAGCTCCGACTGCCGCCTGGAGCAAACCACATGCACCACGCAGCCTTTGTGCATGGTCTTGAACACCAAGCTTTCGTCGATTAGTCCTTGGCGGTGGTCGACCGGTATCGTGGTCAACGGGCTCACGTCGCGAAGCGCGTGTGGCTGGCACGTATACCGAGCCTCATAGCAGAACGCCGAGACGCCAGCGTCGCTCTCTTTGCGCGGTTGCGCTTCCATTCGCTTGGCTTCGTAGAACCACCGGGCGAGGAGCGTCGTGTCGGTGCGCGCTGCTTGGGCATCCACGTAGCCTGCATGGCATACACTGCATTACGACCTCGCATGACGACGATCGACGCATCTACCTGGCTGTCCATGGACCCATGCGAGCGTGGCGGCGGCGTCCCAGCGGGTATGATGCGGCGTGGCGACGAAGCGGTCGCCGTCAACCATCGCACGCTCGAATATGAACCGGATACTGCTATGTCAAACCGGAAACCGTTTCGAACGAACCGGCGCGGATCGGCGCGATGGACGCGTCGGCCAAGGTGGCCCGAGGTACGTGGCGAAGCGCCACGCTGCTTCCTACATAGGCGCAACCACGTAGGGCGCAGCGAGGCCAACCTCGAGCACCTCACGATCTCGGTGCCATCAACCTCGCCACTCTACTCGAACGACTTTCAGAGCGGCTCGCCATCGCTCCTGCGCCGGTCGCCAACGAGTCGCGACGCCGATCGGTACAAGTCGTCGTCCATGCTGCGCACGCCTACGTCCAAGGAAGTCGTCTGGATACAACAATATGACCCGCGTCGTCGGCAGTACTACTATCTCAACGGGTCCACGGGCGAGACGACTCTCGCCAAGCCGCGTTTCTTCTCCAAGGAGCTCCGCGAGCGCAAGAGCGTGGCAGCGCTCACGATGCAGTGCGCACTGCGCTCGCACTTGGCACGCACGCGCGCGGCAGCCTTGCGCGTCGGTGCCCCCGCAACGTCGCACACGGGCGACGCGGTCCTCGACGAAGCGTACGCGCGCAAGACCAAGCACATTGCGTCGCTCCTCACCGACATTGCAAACCTCCTCGTGCTGCGGACGCCCTCCTTTGTCAATGCCTCTTCGACAGACAATGACGACGATAACAAAGACACGGAAGGTCATCTCGATCGGGACGAGCTACTTGCGTTGTATGCGGAGTTTGAGTCGACGCTCCGGTCGCTCACGTCAACCTTTGCCGCTGTCGAGGCCGTCATCCGCGAGCTCCAAGACCAAGCGCTTCTCTTAACCAAGCATGAAGACATCAACGAGACGCTCATTCAAGTGCAGAAAGGCGCGGTCCGACTCCACCGAACTATCCTGGAGAAGGATGCTCGCTTTTGCGAAATGGACGCGGCGCGGCTCAATGCTGCGTACGCTACCTACACGACGATGGTCGCCGAGTCCAAGCAGCGGGATACGACCAGTGTGCTGCAAAAGGCACTCCGGCGCTGCGAAGCCATCTTCCGCAGAACCCTGGGCCCGGCTGCGGTGCAAACCGGCCGCGGCATGGACGTGACCAAGGTCGCTGGCAAGGTGTTTGCCGACTGGCACGACGCCGTCACAATGGCGGTCGAGAGCGTCCGCGAGCTGGAGGCGGCTGCCAATGTACCAATCACACCTGCCGTCGTTGCCGTCGACGTAGCGCCGATAGTGGAAGCAGTACCACCGCCTCTCGTCGCAACTGTCATGCCCGAAGTACCGGAAACCAAGAGCCCGCGCCGAAGCTCGTACGACGTGGCGTATCTGCAAGCACGCTGGGCGAGTGGCCTCAAGCTCCGGGCCAAGGATGCCGACGCGCAGCGACAACGCGCCAGCGCAGCCGAGCAGCAGCGATACCACGCGTTTCAAGACCGCGTGTACGCGCAAGCCCAGTACCGAGAAGAGCGCAACCGGTGCAAGCTCACCATCTGGGAGGCGGTCGTTGAAGGTGCGCGCTGCTTTGTAGTAGTATTTTCGATACCAGATACCAAATTGGGTAGGGTGGTCGGTCGAGAAGATGAGCCATCTCGTGGCACAAGAAACGAAAAGGACCATGCAAGACGGTGTCTCGAGCTTCCGCCTCCGCGACGCGCAGTCAGAGAATGGCCGGACGCTGCTTCAGCTCGCTTGCTGGTGGGGCCACGAGGTGCGACACAGTGTACGATGATGGCTCTAGACCACTGGAGTAGCATTTGGTGCGGTACTTTGTCGAGAAGGGCTCCAACTTGGGCCAATTCGACAGCGTGTGCAATCGCTTCACCCTCCTGCACGACGCGGCGCGCGCGGGCCACGCACCGGTCGTCCGCGCACTGCTCGAGTACGGTCTCAGCGTGAGCGTGGTCGACGCCAGCGGCGACCTGCCCTTGCACTGGTATGGAGTTCGTGCACGAGCGGCTGTCGACAATCAATAGGGCGTCGCGGCGCAACCATCTGGACGCGGCCAAAGCGCTACTGGAGTGCGACGGCAAGCCGCCAAGCGCCCACGTTGCGCGATGGAAGAGTCTTGGCACGCGGAATGCGCGCGGAAAGCTCCCGATCGACGTCACTAACTCGTTTAGCCTCCGCAAGTTCCTCTTGGGTATCCGACATCCTGTACTGTGTAGTAGTGTTGCTGCACCTCGTATGATAGACGAGCAGGACAAGGCGTTGCGGGGCCTCGAGGCCCACGCCGCCGAGGCCAAGGTGCCGACGGGTACGACCGACCCGTACATCTATGCACTGCGTCGGCGGGATGCTGTGATTGGGCCCCACGCGCTCGCGGCCGCACCGCTTCGGCGAGCCACTTTATTGCTGCCGGCCAAACCGAACCACTTTGGCGAGTCGGGCGAGTACATTGACGCCCGACGACAAAAGGAGTTGCGCGTGAAGAAGGCGACGGCAAAGGCGGTCAAGCAGCTTACCCGCGACGGCGCCAAGCGAAGTCTGGTGCGCGCGGCAGGTCAAAAGTTGAAAGCCAAGCTACGGCCGCGCAAGAAGAGCAGCTACGTCGGCGACCCCGACGCCTTCCCACTCGATAGCTGGGACTAATGGACAGTCCAGAACATTATTTGAGGTAGCTGCTCGACCTTGTGTTGTCGTCGCTAGAGGATTAGGGTTACGGTTGTATCCCATCTCGATACATATCGAGTCGAGCGAGTGGTTCTACGTCGTAGAGATCAACCGCTTCCTCCTCATCTTGTCTTTTGGGATATGGAAACTCACCAATGGGAGATACGAGGTTAGAGGTTCGTAAGCTCGAGCGTTAAGGGTGTCGGTAGAGCCCAATGCAATAACGCGCGCCTGTTCTTGACTGCGATGCTGTGGAAGACTGTAGTCGTACACGCCGAAGACGTAGCTCCTTTACGACCCGGGTGATGCTGCGTAACTATCGCAAGCTCGACGATCGTTCGTCGCATCTACTCGCCAGTGTGAGTGCCTAGCTAAATATACCCGCGTCGGCTAATATAATAATGAATGATATCATTTCTCGGGTGGCGCAGGTAACATGGAGACGCCGCTGCACCGCGTCGACAATCTCATGTACGCAAGCTGGTGGAACCTCGGAAGCGGACGCGCCTTGTCTGTAGTGCCGTCGCGACCCGGCGGCTCCATCCGTCTGCGCTGCAGTCGCTGCGCATTGAGGGTGCGTCCTATGACTGTTGTGACGACTACTGACATGACGCCACTTAGAAATTCTCGCCCAGCGCACGTTGTTTCCACCGCTCGAGCAAAAGGACATTGCGGGGAGCGGGTTCGAAGCGCACGCCACGTACCTCGAGACGTTGGACGAATATGTCTTTGGCCAAAACGACAAGTGGGACGCGATGCGCTACATGGCGGTCCGAGAACTCATGCGCGAGTGCGCATTAGCCAAGGTTTGAGCGCTCCTCAATGTCCAACGTCGACTCATTCTTGCGTGAAGCGAAGTGCGATGCATGCGGCCTGCGTCGCGCGCGCGCTGGAGTGGATCGAAAGCACTGGGAACGAACACGACGAGGTTTTGCTCCACTTTCATTTGAGGCGCGCGAAAACCTCCTGTAGATGCTTCGCGCGCCGTCGCTCTCCAAGCTCGAGACGATCAAGGTGCCGCTACATCGCTCTACATTGACGAGACATGGTTGCTAGCTCCATCGCGGCGCGACACCAGCTGACGTGCGGCCGCGTGTGTCCTTTGCCGACGCGCCAGTGCCAGAGCAGCTACTCGTACGTCATTGATACAATCCTTGGGCGACAGCGTGACAAGGTCGTTAGCGCTACGAGCAGCGCGATCTTCGAACGTCCCATATCCACCGCATCGCCGAGCTCAAGGAGAAAGGCATTTCGCTGCCACAGCCACCACCCGTACAAAGCTCTTCTTGTCTCGTCAGCGCTAGCTGAGAACGCATGGTAGGTAGTGGCGACAGAGCCACCCAAAAGCAACCAAACCGAGCTCCTCGAGCTCGAGCGACAGCGCGCAGGCTACAAGTTTCACACCCCCGAGACCGTGGCCGAGGTAGCTCTTTTGGCACGAGCGACACATAATCATTCCGATATGGAGATTGCGCTCAATGAAGTGTGGCGCCAGCGCCGCGATGAAGACGCGCAGGCCAAGGTGCAGGCGAACGAGGTCCAGTCCGTACTGTTTCAGTGGACGATGACGCGCAGTCGTGACGAAGCCGAGCTCCTCCGTAAACAAGTTGGTGCCCGTCGCGTTGTATCCCAGGGCGTTGATGGTCCTGCGTAGGAGTCGTCGCGCATGATGACGCACCGGCAGTCGACGCCGGTGCTGCCGTCGTCTCGACCATCCACGTCTTCGGCGCTAAGCAACCAAGATGATATGGATCTACTGCGCCCGACGCCGACGAAAAGTCTCATGGGCACTGCGCCCGTCGTCATCAAAAAAGCGGCGTCGGCCAACACCGGCATGCGCTTCCGAAACCCGCTGCCTGCCAACTTCAAGCGCATATCCCACCGCGACACGCTCAGCGTGCACGCCCCGTAGACAACTCATCGTGACAACGGTATGTCATCATGTCTTTTTGTAGGACCTCGATGGGTCGAAGCTACTCGATGGGCGACGTGCGGCCGATGCTACCCGAGGCCGATGCGCCGCCGCCCGCGGCGTACTATCCGGCCTCGTACATGCTCAGTGTACCGGCCGAGGCGGCCAAGACGCCGCCGCTCCAGCGAGTCAAGCGCGTGGGTGTTCTAGAGTTATGTAGTTTGAAAACTTATGGCAGTGGACAGAAAAAAAACAAGATGGACGTGCGCGGACTCGTGCCGACGCAGCCCGTGCCGCTGGACTCGGAGTTTCGGGTCTTTCACGCCGCGACGACCGCGCGGCAGTGCCCGTCGGTACACCACCCATTGTGAAAGAAGTGTGCTCGACTGCTAGACAGGTGCGTACTGAGGGCAAGAAGGGCCATGGCATGAGCGCGCTCCGGAGAGAAGAACTCGACGAAGTCGACGCGATCCGTGCCGCGTTCGAGCGCCACCACATGACCTTTAACGCGCACGTCTTTGAGCGTGCGCTCTTGACGCCCGAGGACAGACCTGGCCTCGAGTGCGTCAAGCGCCTTCCGACCGCGGGCTCGAAGCTGCCAGAGAATCCCCTCGGCAGTCTGCGCCATAGTCTGCACAAGGTAGCTTGCTCTAAGTGCGTACAGCTTGTCATGTTGAACACTAGAGCAAGGAAGGCAAGACGACCAAGAAGAAGAAGAAGACCAAGAAGCGCAAACCCAAAGGAAAGAAGGCCAAAGCCGCTGCGTAGCTCTTTAATTAGTCGACATAAATCACCTTGCAAGTTCCCGTATCTATCGCGTTGGAGACGCCCGACAGTTTGTACAGGGCGGCAAGGCTTGTTGATGACATTGACGATATCGCTTGGGCCAAATCACCAATTTTTGGATTTGAAAATGTATAATGGTTACGTGGACTTGTCTCTCGTCACAGCTACTCGTGCTTCGACAAATCCTATCCAGCAACACCCGACCTTTCTTGCTACTAGCTACGTACTATGTAAATCGTGTACTCCCGTTGTCAGCTACGTGCGTGACCGGCGGGGTAGGGTTCGTCTCCAAACTTAGACTGTGGTCATCGGACGGCGGAGTATGCGGGCGCACGATGGCATGCGCTATCGCAACACGCGCCCAGACAACGCTTCGAAGCAGGTCCTTGGCGACGGCCTTCTTCGCGCGACGTCGCTCAGAATCGACGCCCCTTACGTGGCGGCGGCCCCGATCCCCCGGCGCAAGTCGTCTACCCACACACCACCGCTCGCGTCGCCACGCAACATTCGAGACACCATGTACGACAACCGTGCGGCAAGACTCTTACGTGATACGACGTCGCTGTTGCATTAGCTCGTTTGCCGAAGTGTGGGCAGCCAACCAAGTGCCGACGCCGCGCGACGAGAGCGTCTGCAGCGACGGCGACAGCACCAGCGTATCCTGGAGCCCGTCCCACGACGTTGCACGAGACGATACATCGTCGTGGGGCAGTACCGTGCATTGCATCCGCGAGTGGCTGCTGTACCGTATTTGGTCATCTAGGTCACGTCGTCGAGCGGCACGGTCACACGGTGCTGCAAGTGCAACGCAAGCGAACCCTTCGGTCCGAAGACCACGCTGACGAAATGGTGGCGCGTCTCGATGGCCGACCGGTCTCGGCCACAGCGTACCGCGAGGTGCCCCTGTGGCAACTAAGCGATGACGCGTCGTCCGCGAGCAGTGACGGCGACAGTGATGGGGTGGCAGACCCGGCAGTACGTAATTTGTTCGTGGCGAGCCGTGCGACAAGTGTCTCGATGTCCTAGGATATCGATAGTCCTCGCAGGTGTGATCCCGGAGATAGCCATGGCATACCCGAGCGACCGCGCACGGCGACTTCGGCCCTCGTGCGCGGCCTCCAGCGCAAGTTGCTGGTCACAGACCACGTACACATATCGTTATGGCGTGGACAATGCGTTATGTACGTCGACCCAGGACGAGCACCCGTCGTCAGTGGTGCGGCGTCGCGTTGAGGATGTCCAAGCCAACCGAGTTGTCGTCGGTGGGACCGGTAGCGTCCAAGACGACATTATCGTCCAGGCCATGGAAGCCCGCCGGTTGCAGCAGGTTCGGCCTTTCTCTCCCTTGAAACATTGAAACATTGAAACTTTGAAACATTGAAAGGTGCCCGGGCGAGACCGCAGCCGGTCGGCGCCGAAAGCGCGAAAGCAGACTTTGACGGGACCTATCGGCGTCAGTGGTCTTCGCAAGCAGCACGAAGACGAGGTCGAAGCGATTCGACGCGTGTTTGAGCGCCAAAACCTGGTGTTCGACCACGCCGTCTTTGAACGGTATACATGACACTATATTATCACGCGTCTCGCCGCTTGAATTACTGTCACGGTAGAGCGCTCTTTGTGCCCGAAGACCACGTCCATGACGAGTGCGTGAAGCGGCTACCGATCGCGGGCTCCAAGCTGCCCGAGAACCCACTCTTGGCGAGAAAAATGGCCGTCGAAAAAGTACGTTTTACATGCAGGGATTGCATTCGAAATCGTCTTTGCGGGTAGGGACTGCAGCGCAAGAAGCGCGCACCCAAGCGCCGGCCACGCAAGAAGCGAACGAAACAGAAGAAAAAGAAGAAAAAAGCGGCAACGTAATCGCATCCCCACGCGTCCTTGGCTGTCCCCAGCTGTTGCGTGTAGCTACTACTCGCTCGCGACAGGCCTCTCGGTATCTTCTCGAATGCCAGCTGCGTGGGTGGGGGATGTACGCACTACAGTACATGGAGCGCGGCTACTCGAGAGAGCAGTGATGTGCGAGCTGCGCCTTTGATACCGTGCTTCGGTGGTTCGAATGCCGACGAACTTGAGGTCCGGTTATCAATAGAGAGATTTCGCAACTCACTCCCCGTTTCATCTGCGTTCTGTTTTATGTGGAAGCAGATGGAACGCAACAAGTATAAATTGTGATTTCGCACTGGACATCCCGTCTTCGTCTGCATTCGAATGCAGAGGAAGACGGGAGCAACTACAGCTTTCATTTCGCAAAAATTTCAGAAGGATCCCATCCTCGTTTTGTCTTGTGCTACTACTGCAGTAGCGTGAGCCTCGTCATGATCGATTTCTGCCATGTTGTCGCCGCGAGCTTGTGATGTTGCTTCGCCGCAGTCGCCGTATGTCTCGTCAGCGCCGCCGCCAGTTCCTACTGCTAACTTTACTCCTCTCGGTTGTCGAGCAGTCGTTGGTCCCGAAAGCGCGCCTCGTCCTCGACTCGATGAACGACGCCGATGCAACCCTGCATTTCCGCTTTGGCGGGACTTCTTTGACGCGCCTCTCACGTGCTCTCCAACTCCCGGCCGTCGTTATCGACGAGGGACTGGGTCGATACCTCGCTGTAGAAGCCCTTTGCGTTACTCTCAACCGCTTGGCCTACCCTCGGCGGTACTGTGATATGATGATCGTGTTCGGTCGGTCGCGTGAGTCTCTGTGCCGCATACACGACTATGTGCTCGATGCTCTCTCTACAGTACGACAAGTGGGCCGACGTCTTCTTCTTCCAGAGGACACTCGTCGCCAAGCGCCTCCAGAAGTACACGGACGCGATTGTCGCTAAAGGGTCGCCTCTAACGAACGTCTTGGGGTTCATCAACGACGGATCTAAGATCGGGGCGGTCGTCGTCCGACGAGATTGGCCAGTTGTCAGTCGTCGCGCCAAGTTGGAAGTGACATGGGCGCGTGAGTTCGACAGGTTAAATAAGGTTAAAGCCTCAAGCACTGTTTGACGCACTTTAACCTACTGAACGAAGACGGGAGCCTTCGCTCCCCGTTTTTGGTCGATTTGGGTGAATTCTACGATTAGTTTTCAGAGACCTCCCATTTTTTATTGTTTATGACAGGATAGAAGCGCAGATGGAAACGGGAAGTGAGTTGCGAAATCTCTCTAATGCTGCCCCAGGATCGGATCGCACATTGCATCACGCACCGTCGTCTTGGTGGCGCCGAAACGTGTCGACATGCGTGTAGTGACCAAGGAATGCCCAAGCTCCGTAACTGACTGCCGCCTCTGGTGCTGTAAGTGCCAGCGACTGTTGGGCTTCATGAGCACTCGACCGCTCATGCAAAGCCGGCATACGACCACATGTCTGCGCCCGCATAAGCGTCGTCCGCACAAGCGTAGCGCTGTTCGTGCAGGGAAACTTCTGTCTTTGACACCACGGTTTGCGTTTTGCTTGCCTTTTGCTTTGACAATTGTCTTGAGAGACTGCAAGTCCTCAGGTAGACCGTCGGACGTAGCGTTCGCTGCCAAAACCTCTCGTCGCTACACTCGCTTGGCGTGAACGTGGTGCTGGGAGGTGCTGGTGTTGGTGCTGGGTGCCAAAGGTACCAGCGAGCGGGCGTCAATTACGCGGCTCATCTGGCATGGCAACATCTCCACGGGCACGACGCCGGAAGCGATAACAGAATGGAATCGACAATTCTGATTGGCTCTTGAAAAATAGATGCACCAATCCAGCGCGTCTGAGGATGTTGTGGCGATCTTGCTCTATTTTCTGCTGTCGTTCATGGGTTAAGGGCACTACTGATGGCTCGGTTATACGTGTTCGCGTCGACCTCTCTCTTACTCGAACGCAAGTCCTGTCGTGCTGTGTTTGCTATCGGCAAGGAAGTCCAGAGACCGCATTCCACCTATTTTACGCATCTGGGCGATGGGTTAAAGTGCCTTCCGGTTGGAGTGCCTTTTACCGGACGCAAACGGGAATATGGCGACCGAACTCGAAGTGCTTGCAGCGGAACTGGCGGCTGTCCAGCAAGAGCTCGCGCAAGTGCAATCGTCGACGTCGGAGCGCATCTACAAGCTCAACGAAGAGAACGACGTGCTTGCGGAGGCCAACGAGCTCCTCACGCAAGAGAACGCGCGCCTCCGGGCCGAGCTTGACGCGCTCAAGGCCCTCGAGAGCTCGATGGCCGGTCTCGCCATCGCCGAGCCGGTGGTGCCCGAAGACCTCTTGACGCCTGGAAGCGGCCTCTACCCGCAAACCGAGCTCGCGTGCATTGAGCAGGCGCACACGCTCAACGAGCTCTCGGTGTCGGGGCATGTGCTGCGCCCGCATATTGTCGCGTCGGGCGCGGTCGACCGCTGCGTCAAGGTGCACGACTATGCGTCCAAGGCGCTTCTCGCAACGTTCGACGCTGGCGCGCCCGTGCTCGCGCTCGCGTTCCACCCTCAACCCGCGTACGCCGACTACCTCTTGGCCAACTGCATGGACGGCCGCACGTTTGTGCTCAAGCTCAACGGCGACGAGCTCACGCTCGTGCAGGCCTTCCACAACCACACGCGGCAAGGCAACGTGCGCCACGCGTGGCTTTCGACGGGCCTTGCGTTTGTGACGGCGGCCAGCGACAAGACGGCGCACCTCTATCGCTTGGACGACGCGACAAGCACGTTCCTCATTGCCAAGAGCTACTACTTCAACGGCACCGTCGAAGCGCTCGCGGTCGTGCCGGCGTCTACCACCCATGCTGAGCTCATTGCGCTGGCGGTGCGCGACGACTGCTACCTCCACTACGTCGACTGCGCGACGCTCGAAAAGACTCGGTACATTCCATCCTGCTCTGCATCTACCTAGCTCATGCAAACACACACGTAGGCTCAACATGAACACGGACGGGATCGAGCACGTTTCGTACACGATCTTGGACTTGCGCACGTCGCCGAGCGGCAAGTACCTCTTGGCGGCCACAGACGCCAACCGCCATTTCGTCTTTGAGGTAAGGGTGGCGACAGGCGAATGAAACAGACTCACGACGCGAGTAGGTCCTTCAGAACGTAGTGCTTCGGAGCTTTTACGGGCACAAGGCCGGTCCATACAGCCAGCCGCGCGTACTGTGGCACGCCTCGGAAAAGTACATTGTGTCCAACAACGAAGGCGACGGCGTGCTCAACGTCTGGAGCGTGGCGTCGGAGCGCCTCTTGACGCAGTTTACGGCCCACGAGAAGCTCATTCGCGACATGGACATGGCCCAAGGCGTCTTGCTCACGGTCTCGTACGACAAGGCGCTCAAGGTCTGGCGCGATGCGTAAGAAGAAGGACGATGGAGTGCGGTCGTTATTGTATATATATTAACGGGTATATATAAGACCGGCTATGCCATTTGCGCCAAAAGCTCCTTCATGGCGCGAATGTCGCGGACCATGGCCAATGCCTGGCCCTCCCAAAAGTCGAGTTTGGCTTGAAACTCGGCCAGCTGCGCAGCCGACGCCGGTGTCTTGGTCGTTGGGCGTGGCGAGGCGCTAAGCGCCGGAAGCTCGATGCGCGTCGATGGCCGCGACCGGTCGGCGCCGGGTGGCGTCGCGCCTCGGCTGCTCGGTCGCGTCTGAGGCGGCGTCGAGCCGCGAAGCTGCTGCGGTGGCGTGGTTGGTCGACTACCGCCGCCGCCTTGGGACGACGACGTCGAGAGCCGGCCGCCTTGGGACGATGGCCGGCCCTGCGACGACGTCAGCGAGAGCCGCCCAAGGGTCGAGGACATGGATGACCGTGACGACGCCGTCGAGTCGGCATACGACGACATGGACGACCGCGACGAGGCAGTGGACTCTGTGTACGACGGACTTCCGGTTCGCTTGGTCCTCTAGCCTCGGTGGCTCAGCCGCGACCGGAAATGCCATCGATCTCTGTACCTGTGGCGACGGCTCGGTCGTTGATGTCGTTGGTGGCGGCGACGAGTCGGCACTGAGCGACGGCGACGGTGACAGACGAGCCGTGCCCACCGCGCGGGCGGGTCGTTCTGCCGTGCAGCTGCGGTTGTGAATCGCGAGTCTATGCCTCGTGTCTCAGAAACGTGCGGATCAAGCAACGCTGCACCTCTCTGGGTTGAACGTGCGACCGCAGTACGCACACTTCTCCATGACCTAGCGCCAACATGAGTGCGCTGCGTGAAGGGCATCGTCGTTAGCCAACCTTTTCCTCAAAGGCTCTGGCGGCCGCGCGGTTCTGCGCTTCGAGCTCGTCGGGCGAGAGCTGGTAGAGCACGTTGGCTTCAATGGGCAGCTCTTGGGGCGGCTCTGGCACCGGTCGTCGCTCGCGCAGTGGCTTCTTCTCCTCCTATCATCCGGTCGTGCCTGCGTCGCTCATCGAAAAGACACTGCGAACCTGCGCGATCCAGAGCAGCTTGCACTGCTTGAGATGGATTTCAAACGACGAGAGACCATACTCGCTATCGCCAACACGATGAGCTATGCAAAGGATGCGAGCAGCACGGCGTACCGGCCGCAGACGTAGCAGAGGCGGACTTTGGGGCGCCGCGCTATTCAACGAGCATGAGTGCACAGTCGCGCCACCGACGCACCGGCGTCCATCTTGGGCGGCTCGGAAACGGCTTTTCGGCGGCCGGGGAATCTGGTTGGGTAGGCGGCGATCTTGTCGTAGAACGACTTGTCCTTGGTCGGCAAGAGAGGCTGGACGTGCAGGCGCGACATATACGAGACCGCGCAGGCCAAAGGATGCAAATGGGCAAATGCGCCACTTGCGCTCCCAACTGCTGCCACCGTGGGACGATCGGGATTCGTACAGTGTATTTACGGTACAGTGTACGGGACCGTGCCTGTCGTCTGGCATCCAGTGTATTGGACCAAACAACGCTTGTGTGACCGATCGCGTGCATGCCGTTTGGGTGCTGTCGAGGCGCCAGGATGATGTGCCGACCTTGTGCGCTGACGGTGCTTCTTAGCCGGGCGCAGTCGTAAGAGGTACGATGCCAATGGGGTCGCCAGTCGAAGTAGCCGCGCTGGCTGGCGCTGGTTGAAGCCAACCAGTCGTGTCCCACGCGCTGGGTTTCTAATTTTTGCGTGCGACGAGAACGTTTACTTTGATCCGTGCCGTTGGCAACCGTGTCTTTAGGTCGTGCGCCATAAACACGCCACTTGGCGTCTGTCCATCGCATAGGGCCCTCGAGAAGCGCTTTTATATACCAGTCCAAGACGCGCCTTCCTAGGAGCAGCCACCATTATTAGCAGCAGCCCAGCTCTTTAAAATGTGCATTTGGCTCAGACCTCTCAACAGCGATGATAGTGTGTTCCATGGTTATCTGCCGCGTTGAAGATGGAAAATACGACCGACAGCAGCTTCTCGCGGGTTTTTATTCGACCCGAGCGCAATTGCGCCCGTGCTCCTGAACCACCAACGGCGTATAAACCGACTACCAGACCCGATCGTGCGACGTAGCGAAGTCGAGATGCCAGAAGAAGAAAGCCCGCGTCTGGTGGCACCCATATCTTCGGGCTGGCTCATTTAATTCATCAAGCCAGGAGCGGGATGATAGGCCATTTGCCAGGAAGGCCATGTGGAAGCTTGGTCATCATCGATAGCTCACACCATGTCCGTGTCAGCATTCAGCATAAAGTGTCTCCAAAAATGTACATTATTGTGTATACCGTTCGATAATCTTTTTTCTTTGAGAAATGGTATGTTTCGGCGTCTCGACGGGCGGCAGCAGCCCGAAAATGACTTGCGTTCTGTATGCCCCTATTAAAACAAAGAGTAGACAATAAATGCCATCGCGACACGCCACATCGCACTGGCTCGTTATCGCTTTTGCATCCTACATTAATTCCGTTCGTGATAACACTATTTGAGATGCATCCGGCTAAGTACGCGCCGGTATGCCCACAGTGGGAGCCGACGAGGTAATTGACCGACGACCGCGGCTTGCGCAGATGCCCCGCTACGTCACGCTCCAAGGCCCCGTGCACGGCCCGAGGACCGGTAGCAGCGAGTACCGCGTCGGCGACCACGTCGAGATCGCCGGGCGCAAGGGCGATAGCGCCGTCATCTACGTGGCCGAGATCATCGGGCTCCACGCACAGGGCTTCACGGGCAAGTACTACTACTTTCCGTCCGACTTGGACGAGAAGACAATGGCGCAGTTCCCGACGCACCCGGGCAACCATATTTCGTCGGCGCGCGACACTGACATTGTCGACCTCAAGACGGAAGACAACGAGATCTTTGCGTCGCCGTTCTCGGGCGATGCGCCGATGGCCGCGATTCTGCAGCGCTGCTACGTCGTGCAAAGCATGCCATTGCACCAGTTCAAGGACGAGCCGCTGCACACGTACTTGTGCCGGTATGCGTACGCGCCGTCGGCCTTTCCGTCGCCGTTTGTCAAGATCGACGCCGATGACGCCGAGCCCGTCAACTGCCGCCTCGGCCCAAATTATCAGGCCGATATTCCGCCATTTGAGCCCAAGCCGCTCGATGCAAAGCCGCCGCTCGATGCAAAGCCGCCGCTCAATTCAAAGCCGCCGCAAGCACCACTCAACCGCCGGTGGGTGCCGAAGCTCGCGCGGCGCCAGGTCAAAACGTACCTCGCAGTCGCCCATGTCCTCCAGCTCGCGATCGGCAACATTGCGTACGCGTGGAACCCAAAATCCAAGGAGCAGATCCCCGTCGTGCTCCGAGAGTACCTCCCGATCGACGGCCAATTCCGCGTGACGTTCGTCGACGGCACGGGCGGTGCGAGCCTCGTGGACGGCGACATGGTGCGCGGTCTCGTCGCGCCGGACGAAGTGCTCTTCGCGCTTCACGACGCCGACTATGACGCAACGAGCGCCCTCCAAACGGTGGCCACGTGGATCAGCAAGCGGTCGGTCGACATGGTCAAGGACATGGCCGAGGACTCCGAGTCGGGCGAGTCCGACTCGTCCGCGACGTCGCCCCGTCAGCACACGGAGCGGCAGACGACGCTGTTGAAGCAGCGGCTAGCAAAACAGCGCCAGCAAGCGCCGCCGCCGACCAAGCGCCAGCGAAAAGTAGACCAGTAACACGAGATGCACCACGCACAGAACTGTGTTGGGTGTTATGAGACATGGCGGGCTACCCCGAGTGGCGGGAGCGTCACGAGGTCGACGTCGCGCCAGACGCGACGGTCGTCGTTCGCAGTATCGTCGGTAGCTCTTGCGGTGCGGCGCGTGACAGCGTCGTAGGCCCACACCAACCGCCGTAGCGGGTCGTACATTTCGAGCGACGAGAAATACTGCAGCGCCGAGACCTGCGCGGACGTCATGCGCAGCTGCTGGAACGATTGATTCGAGAGGAGTGTGCAGAGCTCGGCCTCGCTAAACGCACGCAACTTTGTGACAAAGTTGACTTGGGCAAACGCCGAGAGCGCGCTAAAGTCAAACGTGGCGAGCGCCTTTTGTATCAGTGATGAGTGCGTGCAAATAGCCGACCGAGCGCACCTGCTGGACGTTGCGGAGCGCGCGATTCGCATTGACAAGCGCCTGCAGACGTTCGACGTGGCTCGCGTACCGGCTGTGCTCAGGCGGCTCCAGGACAAGCGAGGAAAGCACTGCATTTTGCTCCAACGCTTCGACGAGGCGGCGCCAGCCCACCTCCTTGATGCTTGGGTTCTCCGACAAGCTACATCATGGATGATCGTCTCACTTTGCACATAACAAAAGTGTATGTCTACGTGAGCGTCGTCAGCGTCGAGTTGCGAAGCAAAGCGTCCGCGAGGCAGGCGCACGCGTTGCAGTTCAGTCCTGCTTGACGCAGACTAGTTCCATGTCAGATGCCGCATTGCCAGAGCCCGCGCTTTACCACAGGTCGCGCAGAGGGGGGTTGAAGTGCAAGGCGCGCGCGAGATGCGAGAGCCCCGAGGATCCAATGTTGTTGCCACTCAGATCGATGCGCGTGATGCTGTCGTTCACGCGCAGAATCGCACTGAGCTTCATGGCGCTGTCGTAGTCGAGGTCGTTGGCCGCCAGGCTACGCGCGTTCTGTATACTCCATTCAAAAACAAAACTCAAGAGCCCTACACGAGCGTCTGCAGTGTGTGCGAGCCGCGAAGCACTTCGCAGAGCGCGTCGACGCCGTCGTGGCACACGTGGTTGGCGACGTTGTGCGTCACGTCGTTCTTGCTCAGCGAGAGCAGCGTCACCTGAGACGTGGTCGCGAGCAGCCCGGATGCGAGCAGCACGAGGCCGTCGCTCCGAAGGCGCGTGTCGTCCATGCTACACGCCTGTTTATACAAAATGCGCTTGGAGCTTGCGTACTAGAGATGCTGGAGCTTCTTGAGGGCCATGAGCGCCGACGAAAGTGATTCGATGCCGCCAAAGAGAACACCTTTGACGCCCGTGAGCGGGTTCTCCGAGAGGTCGAGCACCTATCGCAGTGTCGACGCCATTGTATTCTTGAGGTCATCGAGCTGGTACTTGAACGGAAGCTTTGCAGCGCGCCTCCAGAAGCGCGCCAATCGCAGCGAGGTCCATGTGGTCGCAGCCTGTGCTGCGCCAATCCACGCGCTTCGCCTTCAATCGGGACGTGGGAAGGACGAGGTGCGAGGCCTGGAACGACTCAAGACGCGACGAGCACGCTTTGGCGAGCCGCACAATCTGCGCTGGCACGAGCTTGGCATTGGCGATACTTTGGTTTGGTATGAGATCACATGGGAGGATGATGGTCGTACTTGAGAGCAACGACGGGACAGGACGGCGTCACCAAGTACGCGAGAAGCGAGGTCACCAAGGCGTCGCAGAGACCAATGTTGGAGAGGTCCAGCGTCCGTTTATCTGGTGCGTCGGCGAGCGCTGCGATCCGCTTGAGCATCGCGTCACCGCACGAGAGACCAAAGCCGCCGTTGCGGAACACCGCCTTGGCATCAAGCACGAAGAGCAAGAGCTTGTCGGTGGTGCTGCTTCGGCGCTCCTCTTCAATAAGCAGCTTTGCTTCTTCAAGTTGGCTGTCGCTCACACCACGGCCAAGTGCCTTGACACTAATACATCAATATATAGTGGGAGAGGCCTGTGGCAAGAATGCGCAACGCACCGGCCTTCCGCCCGATGTCGCTCGACCGGCTCGATCGATGCCAAGAGAAGGCAGCCGCGCGTGCCGAGGATCGAGCGCATCTTGCCCGAGAGCGGTCGGGCGGTAGGTGCGTCCGGCATCACAAGAAAGGCAGCGGCGGTTTCAAGCATGTGGCGCCAACTCACATGCACCTCGCAGACGTCGAAGAAGGCGACAACAGAGCAATGTCAGGCAGATGCAAAGAATGGCAGTGTCCTGTACTATGCCTTTGGTACTTTAGTAGGTATTGGCACCCTGCCTCGGGCTCACGACCATGGTGCGGACGTTAGTTGCGTGCGATTAGCCACATGGTCCATCGGTTTCGAGCTGGGTTCAACCACCAAGCATGACGGACGACCATGACGTTGGCGCCTTTGTGCTCTTGCTCGTGCAGGACTTTCTCAAAGCGTCAAGCCTCCACAGTACCCACCGTGCCTTTGTCCAGGAACTCCAGAGCCTGGAGCGGCCGTCGCCTTCGGCCAGCGTCTGGTACCACATGCTCGACGTGGCGGGGCTGCCCGCGCTTCAAGACAGCTTGTACCGCGAGAAGCCGCCGTCCTTCTTGCATGTTCTTGTCGAGTTTGCGATTTCAGAGCGCGAGAAGCGGCGGCGGGCAGCCGGTCCCGTGCTCGTCCAAGTGGCCGGTGGCTTGCGGCCCAAGTCGGCCTTCGCAGCGTCCACACCACAGCTGCCAACGTACTCCAAGATCGATACCACCACCAACAACAGCAACAGTAGCAAAAGCAACAACAACAACAACAACAACGACAACAAAAACAGCAGCAACAACACCAACAACAATCAAGACGAAGAGAGGCGGGCGGCGCGCCTCGCTCGCGCCTCGGCCTCTCTCTTGACGCTCAAGCCACGCCAAGCCAGCGCCGCGTCGCAACCGAGGCGCATGGTCAAGAACGACGTGGGCGGGCGCAGTAGTAGTAGTGTCGACGAGAACGGCGTGCCCGCGCCCCGGAGCCCGGCCTTGGAGCGCATCCGGCGCCTCTCCAAGGTCGCGACGACGACCGGTATCTTTACATTGCCGCAGATCGTGACGCTCCACGACGACAAGTCGATCGCTCCCGAGTCCAAGGAGGACGACGCGAACGCGGGCTCGCACGAAAAGTGGATTCCAGAGCACAAGCGCGTGTACCGGCTTCGTCGGCAGCTCCTCGAGATGCACGTGGACCTCAAGGCCCAAGAGACGTTTGAGAAAGCCAAGTACTTTCAGCAGTTTGGCAAGCCGCCCGTCGTCGGGCCCGACGAGCGCGTCCCCGTTGCATGCAAACTGTGCTTGGCCATCTTCCCGAAATGCAATCTCGTGCTCGACATCCCGTACAAGATCATCATGGACCTGCGGCGACGCTGGGATGCGACCATGAAGGAGCTCAACCCGAGCCTGGCGCGGCCACCCGCGTGCTACGACTGCGTCAAGGTCTGCGCCTTCTGCGCCCAGCTCGTCCAGCACGCGCACGAGCAAGAGAGTGTACGCTGCTGCGCTTTCGCCGTCGTCTTCCGCTGCATGATTGTAATATGGTGTATGGTGCGTAGGAAAAGCCAGACAAGGTCAAGACCAAAATGAAACGAGCGGCTGTGGTTGACGTGGCGCGCCGCCCGTCGATCGGCGTGCCAAGCGGAGCGGACCCACCGTGCACGGACCCGTACGCACTGGACCCGTACTTTTCCGAGTCGAGCAGCTCGGACGACGAGGCGAAGGATCGGTACATCATTGGCGCGCTTCCAGACGACGACGAAGCGCGGCTTGTGAAAGGCGAGGTCGGGCGGCAGCTGCGGTACGGTGTCCAGCACGAGCGCACGCACCGCAATCTGAACCGCGGCGAGTGGGGCGTCATCATGGGCGACTCGGAGCCGCGGGGGCACATCTTCAAGCACAACTCGCTGGTAACGGGCGAGCGCACGCTTGCGCCGTCGCTGCGCACGATCTTAAACGACAGCCGCCACGGTTCGTGATCAAATACATACACTATTCGGGAAATAGGTGGAAATACAAACGAAAACGACGCCGTTCGTGGGCGGAGGCGACCGCAAGTCGTCTTACTTCTTGGCCTTCTTGACCTTCTCGACGGTCTCGCCCTTCTTGGCCTTGTATGCGTCGCTGAGCTTCTTGGCCTCGGCTTGGAATTTCTATTCGCATTAATTTCATGAGCACAAATGCAGCACACAAGGTAGGAAGCGGACCTCCTTCTTGGCCGCCGAGAGCTTCTTCCATCGGGCGCCGAGCTCGACGGCAACTTCCTTGATGTTGAAGTCGGGGTGCTCGACCTTGAGGGCCGGGCGCTCCTCAGCCATGAAGAGGAAGTACGCGGTCTGCGGGCGCTTCTCCTTGGGCGTGCCATCCTCGTTCTCCTTGCCAGCCTTGCGCTTCATGCCCTTGGCGGCCTTGGACGCGGGGACCTTGGCCTTCTTGGCAGCGGCCTTCTTCGGCTTCTTCGGGGACTCTTCCTCCGACTCGGACGCGGACGCGCTCGGCGATCCCGTCGACGTCGGGTCGAAGCGCTGGACCTTGGCGATCGTACGGCCACTGCGGGTGCTCATGCTCGGCTGCTGCTCTCTTGCGGTTTGACGTTCGAAGTTTTTTCAAACTTTTAAACCATCGCCAGCGCCTCACATTCGAGAGAAAGAAATGTGATTGGTGGAAATCTCGCTTGAAATGGTACACACCCCGTCACGCGCCAATCATACGGCTTAAACGACCTTGAAGGTGTCGATGATTGGCCAGAGCTCTTGATGGGGAAAGCACGTGGTGGAAGATTGGGCCGTTTGAATATGATTGGTCGGTTCGAAAAACCGAGGCAAAAAGCTCCAAGATCGCGAGCGCGGGCGGCCCTCGCGAGATCGGAAAAGAGGAAGATATCATAATGATTCACAAAATGTACGATACGAGCTCCAACTTCTGGGATGGAAATACATGTGGAAGGATCCGTACTGGGACATGCACCGTCTACACAGCAAGCTGGCTTTCGAGCACATTGTGCGCCGCTGCCTGCCATGTAACTCGCCGCTTGCGACATTGGCACGTCCGCCCTTGCGACAGGGCGACGTCGTCGGATCGTGATACCAGTCTTCCAGTCCTTGGTCGGAAAAAGGTCCTACTACTCTGCCTACTCCACTGTTGCTGCCTCTAGACGATGAGTCGAGATCGCTCCACGAAGCATTTCCGAGACAGATCGAGACCGGGGACACGACCGACAACGACCCTGCCTTGCGATGATGGAGGCGCCATCCAAGTCCACGATTTCGAAAGATTGCGTATGTCGTTCATGGATGCAGGCAGCGCTAGTAGGTAGAAGGAGGAGCGAGCTGCGACTACGAGACGACGTCCTTGCCCCAGTTATTTGGAAAACGGGCTGCAAGGCATGTCGGTGCAACAAAAGTGGTACTAGTACTCAGGTCGTCTCGAGTCCAGGAACGTCGAGGGCTCACGTGGCATCAACATCCAGGCGGCCCCCACACAATGCAGGGCATCATAGAGGTATATTGCCAGTCGTGTCCGCTTCTTTCATCTCCAAACGAACCGTACAGTCGTGTCGTACTGTATTCTGGCCCATTCGCAACGGCATGGATTCCCTGACCTGATGACCTCGACATGTACCAGCGCACGATAACGTCAAGCGAGCATGGTCTCGGCGGAACCACGAGCGTCCAACTTCGCGACTCAAGCCCACCGAGCAATGTTGATGTACTTTGAGTATGGTTGAGCACGTGCTCGAGCTCGAGCTAATGCGTCTGTACTGCCTTGACACATGAGCATCGCCCGGAACGCGTCGACTTGTCCCTTGGACTTACACTCGGCTTCCTTTAAGCTCGACTCGGACTTGAGAATGTCTTGTTGCGCGAGTTCCTTCATGGCCGTGGCTTGGACCTGTGCACTCGCCACTCGGAGCTCATCGCACTCAGGTCGTTTTAACCGGAAAAAACTGATCGGTGGTCCTGGGTGGTATGGCAGAGCTGCTTTAGTGATGGAATGCCAGTGCCGTGCAACTTCATTCCACTCGATGCGATCTTAGTCGATTCTGGGACTGAGTGAGTAGACAAGAATGACGTGTAGTACATATTGGCATCACGACAGGTATTCAACTGTGCAAGTTGACCAAGGTCAAAAATGCAAAACGCAAGTGTGTTGAGAGTTGTGCAGTAAGTGCCTTGAGCCTCCACGACTCTCGTACTAGTAGTGCGAGTAATGCTTCCAATTTGGAAACATTGTACTACGCAGTAGTTGTCCAAGAAGGACTGCTGAGTAAACTTGTGATGAACCACCGACACTAGAAACTCTCCTGCGCCCAAGTTGCTGCATGCGTTCTGAAGTTATTACACTGTACACGGATCCTGGAGCTGAGAATCGACATGATGTGCTAAAAAGGCAGCAACGGTTGAATACCAGCTCGCGATGGCGCCCTTTTAGACTTCCTCATTTGTGTTACGTGAAAGCACTGGGCATCGATTGGAATCGACGCACCGCCTCCTGCCGTGCAGCTCGCATCACGATGTATACATCCTCTGTCTGCAAGTTTGATTCTGCCTTGGCATATACCGCCGGGTACCAAACGGGTGCTTCTATCGGTACATATTCGGAGAGATGGCTCGAGTGGAGACGCTTCGCGAGAAGCGCAGTTGGCCACCAGCAATGTGGTAATGTGGTGTACGCTGTAAGCTTGAATGCTCACGGTGGGAATAACATTGCGAGTGCCAAACCATCCATGTTCCCTACCGGAGCATCAAGAGGCCTATAAGATCTCTGCACGTTACCAGTGCAACACACCCGCGAAAGCACGCACTGACCCTTGATCCATAACAAACATCCTTCTTCGACTGGAAAGGCTATACAGTGATGCGTGTCGAGATGCGGTACGGCCCGATTGGGTGGATGCCTGCACTTGGCGCCGTACTATGATTCTCATCCATGACCGCTCGCCTTGTGAAGGAGGACAAGAGTACGAGTACGAGCGTAGCAACATCGCGCACGAACATCTAGTTGTAGTCTACGCCTCTCAAACACGCACGAGACGGGACAACTCGTCCCATCCAAGAGAACAACATGCAAGCTCTCACGCTCACAGTTATCGTTGGACACGGTGTCCGGTCCATTGGCCTTTCTCTCCAGCCTACCGCGCGAACCTATCGCGCCAGTAGAGCGCTAGTACTACACCGCATCGCATCTCGTCCGTCGCCACGACGCATCTCCGCCTCCATGCTCGGTCCAACTGCGCGTCGTGGCCATGCACAACGCACGTTGAAGTTGGCCTGGCACCGTATCCGTCCTGTCCGGATACCGCGCCGCGCATTAAAATAAATGGCAGCGTTTTCACCACTCGCTGAATGACGGGCGGCGACGTTGTGATTGGTGGAGGCCGGCTTCGAATTTATTTCAGCCAATCACGTGCGGCACAACGCGGCGCGCGGGGTCGTTGATTGGCTGCAGGGGTCGGGGTAAAAGAAGTGGAGGCGACGCCATCCATTGATTTGCGGCTGTGAGCCACCGTCTCGAGGAGCTCATTCTCAATTTCCCTTTGAAGAACCCACAAGATGCCCAAGGAAAAGATCCACATCTCGCTCGTCGTCATCGGTCACGTCGATGCCGGTAAGTCGACGACGACCGGCCACTTGATCTACAAGTGCGGCGGTATCGACAAGCGTACGATCGAGAAGTTCGAGAAGGAGGCCCTCGAGCTCGGCAAGTCGTCGTTCAAGTACGCCTGGGTCCTCGACAACCTCAAGGCCGAGCGCGAACGTGGTATCACGATCGACATTGCCCTCTGGAAGTTCGAGTCGCCCAAGTACTTCTTCACGGTCATTGACGCCCCGGGTCACCGCGATTTCATCAAGAACATGATCACGGGTACCTCGCAGGCCGATTGCGCCATCCTCGTCGTCGCCTCGGGCGTCGGTGAGTTCGAGGCCGGTATCTCCAAGGAGGGCCAGACGCGCGAGCACGCGCTCCTCGCCTTCACGCTCGGTGTGCGCCAGATGATCGTCGCCATCAACAAGATGGACGACTCGTCGGTCATGTACGGCCAGGCCCGTTACGAGGAAATCAAGGAGGAAGTCTCGAACTACCTCAAGAAGGTCGGCTACAAGCCCGCCAAGGTCCCGTTCGTCCCGATCTCGGGCTGGGAGGGCGACAACATGATCGAGAAGTCCGGCAACATGCCCTGGTACAAGGGCCCGTGCCTCCTCGAAGCGCTTGACAACCTCAACCCCCCCAAGCGCCCCACCGACAAGGCCCTCCGCCTCCCGCTCCAGGATGTTTACAAGATTGGCGGTATTGGCACGGTCCCGGTCGGCCGTGTCGAGACGGGTGTCCTCAAGCCCGGCATGGTCGTCCAGTTCGGCCCCGTCGGCCTCCAGACGGAAGTCAAGTCGGTCGAGATGCACCACGAGTCGCTCCCCGAGGCTGTCCCGGGTGACAACGTCGGCTTCAACGTCAAGAACGTGTCGGTCAAGGAACTCCGCCGTGGTTACGTCGCTTCGGACTCGAAGAACGACCCCGCCAAGGGCACGGAGAACTTCACCGCCCAGGTGATTGTCCTCAACCACCCCGGCCAAATCGGCAACGGCTACTCGCCGGTGCTCGATTGCCACACGGCCCACGTCGCCTGCAAGTTCAAGGAGATCACGCAGAAGATGGATCGCCGTTCGGGTAAGGTCCTCGAAGAGAACCCCAAGTTCGTCAAGTCGGGTGATGCCTGCATGGTCATCCTCGAGCCCACGAAGCCCATGACGGTCGAGTCGTTCCAGGAGTACCCGCCCCTCGGTCGTTTCGCCGTCCGTGATATGCGCCAGACGGTCGCCGTCGGTGTCATCCACAGCGTCATCAAGAAGGAGGCTGCCGGCAAGGGCGGCAAGAAGAAGTAAATTGTACCCCGTGCACTTGCTACCTTCGTCCTTTGGCCTTGAAAGAGTATATTGAGATAAATCATTTTGCCTTATTCTTTCATCTCCTCTTCTCCTACGCATGCAGAATCTCCTGGCATCAGCAGCCTTCATGATGCTTGCGACCCTACTCTTACGTCGCAGTCGAGCCGAGCCCTCTTTTCGCATGCAAGCAATAGGCTATCTGTGACTGTGGCGAAAGGCGGATCTTATGCATCTTATCCCGGTCGTGCCAATGTCCAGGGCGAACGTCAGTGGACGTCGGGGGCCTCAGTCACTACACCTTCATGTCCTCCATACCTCCTACGCGTATACGCTCGTCTCGCCTGCCAGCACGGCCTCGTTCTCGGCCGTTCTCCATCAGCATGATCCTGGCGTCCTCGGGCGTTCTCCATCAGCATGATCCTGGCCTGGTTCCAACAACCGCTTTTCGTCCTCGCGCCAAATGTTGGTAATGGGCCAATCCCGTGTCGACAGAGGATCACTTTTCCACCAATCATGGATGCGCTTGGATCGGAATAAAAATACACTGGGCGAATACAAAAAGCAAGGCGATTTTGAACCGCGTCGTCCAAAGGTGATTGGCACGTGAAGGTCGCAAGATGCTTCGAAGTCGCCGGGTGCTGCAAAATCCGCTTCTGCTGACCCGTCCGCGCCTCGCCGCAAGCGTCCACGTCATCTCCGATCTTAGCGCGATGGAAGTAACCCGCCACAACTTTAGCGCGGCCCTCGCCGAGGTCGAGGCCCAGCTGCGCCTGCCCTCGTGCCAGTACGCGGCCATTGACACGGAGTTTACGGGCCTCACGCCCCACGAGAAGACGCGCGAGAAGGTCATCGACACGCTCGAGGAGCGGTACGCCAAGGTGCGCGCGTCGGGCGAAAACTTTCTCATTACGCAGTTTGGCCTCGCGCTCGTCCACGTCGAGGACGACAAGACGTGGATCAAGTGCTTCAACTTTTACGTGTTTCCGCGGCCGTACGCCAACATGGACACGCGCTTCTTGTGCCAAGCGTCGTCGATTCAGTTCATGTCGGAGCACGGCTTTGACTTTAACAAGTTTATCCGCGATGGCATCCCGTACATGACGCGCTCGAACGAAGCCTATGTGCGCAAGAACCACGCGCGCAGCCTCAAGAACGTGACCAAGTCGCCGCCCTCAAAAGTCAACGTCACCAAGCGCTTCGACCAGGACTTCCTCAAGGAGACGATCGCCAACATCGAGGCGTGGATCACAGCGCCGCCGTCGGACGACAACAAGGAGCTCTTCTTGCCGGCGCGCAACTCGTTCCGGCGCCTCCTCATCTTCCATGCGGCCAAATATGGCATCCTCACGAAATTCGCCGACATGATCTACACCGAGTCGACGGGCGACGGCGTCCTCCTCGTGCGCGCCGACAAGTCGGAGCGCGAGAACCGGCTCAAGCGCAAGATCGACACGATGAACCAAGAGGTCGAAGACGCCATCGGGTTCTCCAAGGTCATCCAGCTGCTCTCGGACGCAAAGAAGCCCATCATTGGCCACAACTGCCTCCTCGATTTTGTCTACTTGTACCACCAGTTTTGCGCGCCGTTGCCGGCGACACTCCGCGAGTTCAAAGCCGAACTCCAGACGCACTTTCCGACGATCTACGACACCAAGCACCTGGCGCTCGCGAGTCCGCTCCGCGAGTCGTTCGAGTCGACGTCGCTCTCGGCTGTCTTTGAGAAGATGCGCGATACGCTCCAGCCCGACGTTGCATCGCTCATCACGGACGGCGCTTCGGACCCGTACCACGCGGCACTGACCAAGTCGGACGACGGCAAGAACATGCCGTGCCACGAAGCGGGCTTTGACGCGCTCATGACGGCGATCGCGTACCTTGGTTTCACGTCGGCAAGCGCCAACAAGTGGTCGCTCGAGTCGCTGCCGCTGGCGGCCGACGCCACCGACCTCGCACCGTACAAGAACCGCATCAACCTCATGGTGCTCGAGCAAGGTGCGTTCCTGGACGTGGGCAATGCTGACCAAGAGCTCGACCGTCGCCACGTGTACGTCGTGACGCACCCGACGAGCTTGGCGTCCGTAAAGATGGAGGAGCTCTTCCCGGACGTGGAGATTGCGCGCGTGTATCGCGAAAACGACCGTGAAGTGTACGTCTTCCTCACGCAGCCACTCGAAGAAGTGCCGACGGCAAAGGACGAGGCCGTTGCGATCACGACGTTCCCGCTCTTCAAGGAAGCGCGCAGTGATGCCAAGGCGTCGACGACCCCGATCGAAGCCAAGGACGAGCCCGCGCCGGCGTCGTGGTGCACGATCAGCTAAAGATGTACAAATGAAATCGACTGACGAGAAGTACGGATTTGGAGAAGGCGGAAATTGGTGTATTAGTGGTCGAGCTTGGCCGCTTTGGGTTCGTCCTTGCCGTAGCAGGACGGCGCACCGACCTTCCATCGCTTGTCAAGGGCGGCGATGGTGCATTGGAATAGCTTCTTTTGCAGCTTCTTGGACACAATGTTGTGCTGCTCGCAGAGCCAGAGAGACAAGTCGACGCGCGAGTCAACTCTACACATGCGACGTCATGAGTCGACTGCGTGACGCCTTTAGGTCGTGTACTTGGGCGGGCTCGCGACAATGTTCTCGGCAAAGTCCGTCGCGCAGTACTTGCATGGGTAGAGCTGCCCAAGCGCCTGGATAAAGTTGGTCGCGTGCTGTTTCATCGCATCCGACGGCGTCTCGGGGTAGTATGCGGCCATCGTGTGCAGCTAGCAGCATTGCATGTGCCATCAGCATCACCAGCATCTTCCTCGTAGTGTCGTCGTACCATGCCCCACGTCGCGCGACCCACTTCTTCGCGGTCCAGCGGGCAGTCGTCGGCCGGCGCCGCCTTGGCCTTGGCGCCGAAGAGCACGTTGGAGCGGAAGAGGTCGGCCTTGGAGTGGCACACGGGCTCGGCGCAGTCGGCCGGGTTCTTGCTTGGCTGGCTCATGCTTCTCGAATTCGAATTGGGAAATGTGACTGCCGTGCTTGGATTGGCCAAAAAGTGGCCAATCAAATCCGGCCCAGATTCCGACACTCGGCAATGGATCACCGCATGGGATCACCATTTGCTGTACTAGGAGACGCCCTTGTCGACTGGACCAACTAACTAAATGTAATGAGAGATCATGAACCCCGTTCGATGTACATATACGAATCCAAGGATCGTTTGATTGGCTTAATTACACTAGTCCTTGAGCGCGACAATCGCACTGTGCTGGCCACCGGCGTTCACTTGGAGAATGCGCGCGGGCCCAAACTTGGTTTTTGTCCAGTCGACAAGGCGCGGCTTGTACTCGTCCTTCTCTTCGCCCGTGCCGAGCGCGCACATGTCGCCATAGCCCCAGGCATAGAGGTCGTTCTCGGACGTGACAGCGAGCGAGTGGTTTGAGCCGCACGAGATCTTGGCAAAGGAGACGCGGCCACTCTTGGCCTTGACGATGATTTCTTGCGGCGACTCCTTCATCGCGCCTGTCTCGGGGTTATCGATCGTACCGAGCTGACCCGAGTCGGCGCGCCCAAACGAATACATGGTGCCGTCGGCCATGAGCACGAGCGAGTTGTGCGTGCCGGCCGCAACCGCCTGTCCGACCTTGTGGCTCAGCGCTTCGACGAGCTGCGGCTCGATCTGGTTGGCGTCGTGCCCAAGCCCGAGCTGGCCATAGTTGTTCAAGCCCGTCGTATAAATGCCGCCCGTCTCGTTCGCGATAAAGAGCGAGTGGTACGAGCCACAACCAATCGCTTTGCAGAGGAGCTTCTTCCCGTTCAGAAGCACGAGCGCCGGCTTGAGGTGCTGGTTGAAGACGAGCGGAAGGTCGTACTCGCCCGACGGTGCACGGATCTTGTCCGAGACGGGGCGGCCGAGCTGGCCCATTTCGCCAAGACCCCACGAGAAGACGTGACCGTCGGCGGCCCGCGCGAGGTTGAAGCTGCTGCCACAGTCAATATCGACGATGTTTGAGAGGCCCGGAATGCGGAACGGCGTCAGCTACGCGCTTGATATGACTGTCCTGTCCCAAGCATGGAGGATATACCTGCTTGTTTTTGAACGTCTCTTTCGGCGTCGCCGCGTCGCACCACAGCTTGCCTTCCTTGTCCTTGTACGAGCCCCACATGAAGACGCTGCCATCGACGCCAAGAGCAACCGAGTGGCAGTCGCCGCCGACAACCTAACAAGGCCAAAAATGAGACAAGAGCGACCCCACGGGGTTGACGCGTACGTTGATGATGGAGGTGTTGGCGGGAAAGCCCGTAACGAGCGCGGGGGCGTTCTCATCGCCCGTCCGCCCCAGCGCGCCGTCGTCGTTGCAGCCCCAAGTGTAGACGTTGCCGTCCTTGGTGACGGCAGCGGTGTGCAGACCGCCGCAACCGACGCGCACGATCTGTTGCTTGGAAAGGGCTGCGACAACGCGGGGCACGGACACGATCATGTCCTTGTCTTCGTCGACACCGTGGCCGAGCTGGCCGCAGTCGCCGCTGCCAAAGGTCATGATGACGCCACTCTTGTCGCCGTACCGGCCTTCGATCTCTTGTACGTACGCCAAGTATTCGGCCATGTTGTCGACCCACGAGCCCTTGGCGTTCTGCGCATGCTGGAGCTTGATACCTTGGTAAAAGTTTTGGTTGAGCGCATAGGCGTGGCGCTTGCGCTCCGTGCTCCGGGCCGTAACCACGCGCCGGCTGCGCATGACGTCGTCCGAGGCGAGCGTATGGTCGCCGCTGCTAGATCCGCCTGCTGTCGCCTCCGAGCTCGCGTACTCCTCCTTGGAGAGATGGCCGTCCACGCGCGTCCGCTTCATCGTCGCTCGATCGCTTGGTGGAAAATAAACGCAATGGTCAAACGATCCGGATAAACGCCCGCCCGCCACTCGCGGCTAGACCCACGCAATTTTATTAATACCACAGGCCGCTCGTGTGGTATCCGGCACTTTTCACAAAGATTTCAAATCTTATCCGGACAAGTGATCCGAGCGGGAAATCAGATTACTTGCTGGTGTTCCATTCCCCAACATTGCCGTCACAAGGATGCTATATACCATTGGGCCCCGGTTGGTCGACGTTCAGGTTATCACAGGTGTATCGACCATTGATAATACCAAACGTCAACCAACCGGGCTATATAAGGTACATGGAGTGACAATCAATCAGGATTCCCCAGCCATTTTTAAGCCGGGACACTGATCCCAAAGTCCGCCAAGGCCAGTCGCTTCTCAGTGCTAGGCAGTGTTATAGCGTCGGCTTTCCAGGTGAGGTCCTCCAAAATGGCTTTTTCACACGACAGTGCAACGGCGCTGGACGACGGCAAAAAGCTCGACACTGGCTCGCAAAGTCGAAAAGTCGAGGCGTAAAAGGTAGCAAAGTCGAGGCGTAAAAGCGAGATGGATGGAAGAAAAGGACTTGTATTGACATAGTAGATATTGACGATGCACGAGACGACGAGGAGAGAT